ACAGTATTGCAAGTAAATCATTCCCCCCCTCCAAAAAAAAAAAAAAGCAGGACGTTTTAATTTAAGCATGGTAAGAATGATTTACTTGCAATACTGGAAGCAAAATGCTTTCAGGGTTGGTGAAAGGCAAAGCAGTCGGCTTCGTCTTTTGGAGAAATAGCCTCGCTTCAACTCTTGCCTGTTTCTGCAAAGAAAGGAATCCCTGGGTTAGTAGTGTCAGTTCGTGCTCCCTACTGCAGTTAGGTGTTTATTAAATGTCCCTTATTTACTTGTACTATATAATTTTTTTTTAAATTTAATTGGTACCTGTCAAATAAATATGTGAAAGAGAAAGCCTCTTGCTAAAATCGCAGCAGCCAGCGAAAGGGGTCCCTCGCTGGTTCTTTGATTGAAGAACTAAAACTATTTTAAGGCGAGACAGTGGATAATTAGCAGTTACTAATTGTAATGAACCCGAAGAGTGGGGGAAAAAGTCGGTGGCAAATATTCCAAATCGGTCAGCAAAGAACCGTGGTTGTAGCGTGCGCGCGCGCTCATGGAGGGATTGAGCGATCTCCATTTATGGGGCGCTGAGTTTCGGAGCTATGTAGGTTTTCACTCCGATTTGTGAATCCGACTAGGTAAAGCGCTTCGTTTTTTTAACTGCTAACGTTTTCCAGGTTTGTTCAGGAACAGCTCGCCGCGGAGGGTCTGTTGCCCCTCGTGGTTTGTTGCATCAACCACAGCTGTTGCTGGGGCAATGTATCAGCCACAGAAACTTTCCTTGTTTGTTCTTAGCGTCACCCACCACCACGGCGGTGGAAAGCCGATCTTCACGACTTAGTTACATCGACCCAGCAATATAACGAAACGTGTTAAAACCCATAGAAGTTATTCTTTTTAGGCCAGATTCATTCGCTAAGCCATAGAGTGGTCGCGGTTTATGGAACAAAACACGCCTGGCTTGGTTCGCTTAACGCCTAATCAAACCCAAACAAACTTATTATGGTTTAATATGAGTAGGAACCCAGCACTAGCCTGCGCTCCTAAGCGTATTTCCCAGCAAGTTAGTTTTGCTG